GGGGGGGGGGGGGGGGGGGGGGGGGGCGAGCGAGCAAGGGAATAAGCGAGGGGGGAAAGGGGGGGTGGAGGGAAATGCGGGGGCGTTCGAGGTTTTTGTCCAAAAGCATGGACGGCAAAAATAGCAGCAAAGAATGACCCTCGATAGCTCCGAGAGGACTAGCAGGTCGAACGTTCAGTTTCGTTATGCGATCGCGTTGCCTCCTTTCCACAATCAATCGGCTAGCTGGCTGGTCAAGCGTGTGAGGATTTTCGCCCAAGAAACACAGCATGAGACCAACCAACAGCTCTCATCTCCCGCCTCAAACCATCCGAAGTTTGCCCACAAGAGACGGACCAGTCCAAACAGCCAAGTGTTGCCTAGAAAGACACAATTTAGGACCACCCTGCAGAGGTAACACCGTCGCTAGCATACCCCCGATCAGGCGAAGCGATCGCGAGCGTGGTTGGGGGCGACTCACATGTTAAGCGTGGACACTGGTATGTCAAAGCCGAGCACGGACAGGTCCATCTGGCACCCCTGGAGAACAAATCATCGTTCGGCAAGCGCCGCCGGAGGAGGGGGGTAGGGGGGGGGGGGTTCGTGTGTGACGTTTGACCTTTGACGTATTGCGAGTTGAGGATTCCAACAAGATGCACCCCTGCATGGAGCTATTACGAGCTGAGATTTTCCGACAACATTCACCACCTGCACGGACATACTACGAGTTGAGAATCCCAACAACATTCACCACTAATGACCGAAAACCCCAGCGACAAGGGGGAAGAGGAGGAGGGAGAGAGACGCAACAAGCAGTCGGCTCGTTGACATACGTACGTACGTACAAGGTTTGGGTATACTAAACGCGAGAAATGTGTCTTTCTTTCTCACCTGGTTCTGGAAGGCCGTTCCCATCTGAGCGTAGACCGCCCAGTAGGGCACCTGCAGCGCCAAGAAGGGCAGCAGTTTCCACACCCGCGACACGGCGACCACCTGTTCTCGGCGATGATGGTGGCCGGCCGACAGCGTTGGTACGTGGGACAGGGTAGCGGGCGTGGAATGAGTTACCGTTGGTTGTTGTTGTTGTTGTTGTTGTTGTTGTTGTTGTTGTTGTTGGTGGTGGTGGTGGTGGTGGTGGTGGTGTGGTGTTGTCTTCACACTCAAAACCGTTCCGATCTCTATATCCAGTACCTTCATCTGTCCGTACTACCGTATGAGTCGGAGAGTTGGCACGGGCCGGAGAGATGGCACCGGTCGGAGAGATGGCACCGGGGTGCCATAAAAAACCCGAGGAAAAAACATTTAAAAAAACGATCGCACCCGGTGCCAACTCTCCGACTCTTACGGTAATCTACCACTCGACGGGGTCGATTCCCGTGGTCACCTACCTTGCCCTAAAAAGTTTTAAACTGCACTGCAATAAAATGGACCCGAAGGATCCGCAAGGCAACAGAAATCAACGAAAGGTACTCTAGAAGAGTAGGTTGCATACGATACCACCCCCCCCTGCGGACAGCATTTCAAACCACCGTGTTGTTCCACGATGATGCCGAAATCAATGATACCATAAAGAAAGCCTCTCGACTAGAGACACTTCCTAGGGGGGGTGGAAAAGAGTTGTCGTAGGTGACATGAGATGGCACGACATACCACACCCCCGGGACCGAATTTCAAACCTCTATTGTTCCACGACGTGCCTGTATCAAGTGATTCATTTTTGGAGAGCTCTCGACGAGACGGTTCCAACGCCTCCCGCCATTTTCGGCACCGTCACTGCTTTTCCTGCCGAGTTATCGAGCTTTGAAAAACGCCCCGGGGGTGTGGTATCTTACGCAACCTACGATACGGTAGAATCGAACGTGGCCATCCTGTAAGGTGTGCATACACTCGGAGATGTGGCAGTCGGAGATTGTCGTCGGTTACGCTATGAAAATGGTTATCGGAGATGGCGATCGTTGGAGGTATTGTCACCGGAGATGTCCTTATTGGAGATGATCAGCGTTGAGTTCTCGCTTTTACAAGGGGCAGGATAGCAGCACGTATGCATGGCTTCGGAGATGTCTGTCGGACATTTTGTGATCGCCAAGTGACGAGGCGACCATCCCCGTTCGTTGTGTCCTCCTCGGGACACTATCTTTGTCACATGCTACACTGACGCAAACGAAACACACACAAAAAAGAGAGGGAGAATCGGGTTGAACGCCCGGGGGGAAACCAACCGAAACCGCCCACATCCGCACTTTTGTCATGAAGTAAAGGGAGTGTATAGTAAACTCCCCCCCACAACCTGTCTGCCCTGGTGGTGGGGGGGGGTCGGTCACGGGTGGTGATATCACGGTGCTACCCGAGATTGTAGGTAAGTAACAAGATACCACAAGCCGTGACCGAAAACCTCGAATACTCAACGGTGGAGCATAAACCAAACGATCGATACCTTCTCGGAAAGCTCTGCACGAGACGGTTCCAGCGCCGCCATGTTCGGCATCGCCACTCATTCTGCCGAGTGGCGCAATCGAGCTTTCAAAATTAGTCCAGGGGCAGTGACTATCGTGTGTCACCTCCCGTGCGGTGGTCATGGAGTACCGCAAATACGTCAGTTCCACGTGCCACAGCAGTACATGACAACGGCCGACGCGCGCTTACCTCATCGTGCGAATACGAGCCCCCCGATCGCTCGCTCGCACTCTGCAGCCACTCCAGCGTTTCTTCCCCCGCCCCGCCCCCGCCCGCCTGTATCCTCGCGGTTTGCCACTCGCCGCCCGCAACTCCGTCCTGGCCGGCAACTCCAACCCACGAAGCGTTGCACCGTTTGCGGCAGGCTTCGGTCACGACCCCGGCGGCTCGGCTTACGACGCTACCGGAGGGTGGAAACCGGCGGTACCTACAATAGTAGGAGGGAGGAGGGACGACGACGACGACAACAATAGAGACTCATGTACAGCAGAATGTTCTCGGAAGGTACGTGTGTAGTCTTGCCCCGGTGCCCCCCTCCTACTCGGGTGACTCTCTTAAGTAGGTTTTCGTCATAGTTGGAGTGAATGTCTTTTGCTTGGGTGTTTGTCTTATACCCCAGCGCCTCTCTCTTACGTGAGTGTTTGTATTATTAGTCAGGTGGCGCCCTTGTACGAGCGTTCGTCTTAGTCGGGTGCCTCTCTCTCACTTGGGTGATCCTCTTAATTGGGTTTGTCTCAATCGGATGCCGCTCCTATACGAGCATTCGTCCTAGTCGGGTGCTTCTCTCTTACTTACTCTGTTCAGTATTTGTCTTATTTAGTCAGATGCCGCTCCTATACGAGAATTCGTCTTAGTCGGTTGCTTCTCTCGTACTTACTCTTCTCTCGTACTTACTCTGTTGTTTGTCTTATTTAGTCAGATGCCGCTCCTATACGATAATTCGTCTTAGTCGGGTGCCTCTCTCTTACTTCGGTGACCCTCATAATTGGGGTGTTTGTCACAATCGGATGCCGATCCTATACGATAATTCGTCTTAGTCGGGTGCTTCTCTCTTACTTGGGTGTCCCCGCCAAGAAGACCACTAGCGCCAAGGACATGGCGATGCAGGGAATGGAGTATCCGGCCATGAATCCCCAGTCCGGCCCCCCTAGAAACGACAGCCCGTATTGGCACACGTACGACACCAGAGTGAAGCTCACCAAGGCCCCGAGGTTAATGCTCCAGTAAAACCTGCAGGCGGGATCGTTGGTTGTTGGTTGTTGGTTGTTGGTTGTTGGTTGTTGGTGTTGGTGTTGGTGTTGGTGTTGGTGTTGATGATGTGGGTGGTGGTAGTGTTGTTGGTGGTGTTGGTGATGTATTTTGTTGTTGTTGTTGTTGTTGTCGTTGTAGTAGCTATTTGCCGTTGTTGGCTGCATCGAAAAACGGCGCGTTGACGTCTCTACTGAGTACTGTACCTCTAAACTCCCTGCTGGGTGAAGTGAAGGTAGGCGTAAACCAACAACAAACAGAGGGACCCTTCCCCAGCCACTACAGCCGCCCACAACAACTCCAAACAACAACAAAACACCGACCAGAAAATGGCAACAACACAACACATACCAAAGCATGCTACCACACCAAATCACGAGCTCACCAATTGAAGAATGACTGCTTCTCCTTCACGTCTGCCGGGTCGTCTTCTTCGAACTGATCCGCCCCGAAGACGCTAACGCTCGACTTTATCCCTGCACCAAACGACACAACACCGGCCGTACCCCACACACAAAGTAAGGAGGAGACTTACAACGAGGTCGATTCAAGACCCGTTGCTGCGAAGTTGGAACACAAAGCGCCAACAGCGAAGAGCTCCCATCTACCAAGTTTGATACACTTTTCCTTCTTGGTTAATGCTTGTGGAGAAACTCGCTGCTGCTGTGTGTTGTCGTCCAGCCATCTTATCCGGACTTTCGGTACATTATGCTTGCACGCACCGCCCAGAGGAGGGACGTGAGCATGCGAGGTGCTCAAAAACTTGACAAAAAAGCAAAAACGAAACATACTACTGTTCTGTTCTCTCGGCCTTTCTTGTGCGATGTTTTCCCTCTATTCAATTCGTGGCGAAAAAGATTCAGCCGCCCCTTGCTGTACCCCACATCAGAGATGCCAACAAACAACAACAACAACAACAACAACAACAACAACAACAACAACAACGGGGTCCCAGGTCATGGCATCATGGTCTTTCCAAATTGTTTGCATTCCAGCCGCACTGAGACTGAGGTGTTTTTATTGGCCAGAGCGCGGTCGATGCTAGTAAACACACACAGAGCAAAATATGGGTTCAGTGCTATACGCAAATAAATGATGATCGACGACACGCTCTAAGCAAGGCGGACAGACTATCGTTAGTCTCCACCGTCACACGAGAGGCCACACGTGGTGCGTGCGTCGTGAGTATCGGAGGAGCCAAGGTTAAGGTTGGCGCATGCGTCATGTGGATCGGGAAGAGCGCGCTTACCCCCAG